GCTTTAAATAAAAAAATAAAAATTGATCATTGGAAACACCCCTGTAAGTGTTAATTGGTTTGCCTCAACCCTGCAACTGCTACATCTGCATGACAGCGTGTTCTGTTTACAAACAACAGATTTACTGGCAGTATCACCAGGTAGAAATAAAGTTAAAAAAGCCTAAAAAAAAAACCTAATGCAGCCACCACATCTAATAATTGGAAAGCTACAATATATTAAATGTTTGCTTTTGGGTTTTATGCTGCTTTAACTTCTGTTCAAAAACGTAATGATTCTGTAGATCAGTTTTCATCATGACTCGTATACAGTATGTTACTTAAATACTATGCTATGCAGTTCCACTGTCCACCATACTGTGCAATAATTCATGTTCTTAAAGAGAGACCCATGTTGCATGCTACATATCATAAATCAGTTCATTTTAGATGGAAGTTATAGAGTTGGCGGCATTATGATGGTGTTTTTTTTATAGTTCAACTTTTTCATTCCAGCTTGAGTTTAGTGATTTGTATGAAGGCGATTTCACAATTCCAAGTTTTATTTACAAGTGAAATACTTCCCTCCAAACCTATTTGCCTAAATAAAGTACATACATTAATTTGTTTAGTTTCTAAATACATTAGCAAAGCATTAGATCAATGTAGCACACATTAACAGCTGGTATATTTCTGCACTAAAAAGTTTAAATACCTAAAGCGCAGATTTTATGTGGTTTTAATTTGTTTTCCTTGAATAAATAACAGATTTGTGTCTGATGATCATTTTACATCTAACCGAAGTGAAAACAGAAGTAATTAATATTTTTATAACTTCAAGGCTGGTTTGCTAACAATGAAAAATATGTATTTATGCAAGATTTAAAAAAAATATATGCAACGCTAATTAATACATTTGCTCGTTTGTAGATTGCTTTCATAATGATTTCCCCCATGGATCTCGGGTTTTTTTAATCTGCGGCCTGTAAAGTAGTCAGACGTAAAGCAGATTTTGCTTTGCTTGTTTTCGGAGTCTCTTGTGTCTGTCATTAAGCTAGCTGAGTTTTAAATTATATAAATTTTAAAATAGGCAAGGGGAACGCCAAGTCCCAGCATGGCATGTCAGCTTTGGCTTAGCATATGAAGAGAGGTGGGGTATATGTGTACAGCTTGAGAAATGATGGCAAAAAATTGGGGGCTTATTTTTTTTTTTTATGATACCAGCTAAGGGTGCCTAGATTGCTTAGAAGGGGTAGAAGGGCACCAACAGGGCCAGCCATGGTTCAAATTTTGTCTGGTTTATCAGGAACTGGCCAAAAGCACCCCATGCATGGCCAGTTTTAATAATGACCCATTTACATTTGTGCTATGTTATGCACTAAGGCAGTGGTGGGCAACATTTTTTTTTCAACTGAGCCAAATCTCGCCAAAACCACAATTGAAATTTATTTTGAGAGCCACATTTTTAAAACTGAAAATACATCCCCCATATAGTAATTCATCCCCCATAGTAATTCATCCCCCATATAGTAATTCATCCCCCATAGTAATTCATCCCCCATATAGTAATTCATCCCCCATAGTAATTCACCCCCCATATAGTAATTCATCCCCCATATAGTAATTCATCCCCCATAGTAATTCATCCCCCATATAGTAATTCATCCCCCATATAGTAATTCATCCCCCATAGTAATTCATCCCCCATATAGTAATTCATCCCCCATATAGTAATTCATCCCCCATAGTAATTAATCCCCCATATAGTAATTCATCCCCCATAGTAATTCATCCTTCATATAGTAATTCATCCCCCATAGTAATTAATCCCCCATATAGTAATTCACCCCCCATAGTAATTCATCCCCCATATAGTAATTCATCCCCCCTATAGTAATTCATCCCCCATAGTAATTCATCCCCCATATAGTAATTCATCCCCCCTATAGTAATTCATCCCCCCTATAGTAATTCATCCCCCCTATAGTAATTCATTCCCCATATTGTGTCAATTCACTTACCTTTGCTCCGCGCGTTCCTCTCGCCGTGTTCCCGCGCCGTTCCGGTCTTCAGGGCGGACTGTGAGAGGAGTTCATCACGCTGCCCCGTCTACATCCTGACAGCCAATGTTTGCCACGCTCCGCGGGCCGGATTAAAAGGTCCGCCGGGCCGTAGTTTGCCCATTGCTGGGCTAGCTGCAGAGTCCTGACTTTTGGGGCGGCCGCCCGAGAGGAGGGAGGGGAGCGGGCGCCCGACACACAGAAGAGCCGCATTGAAGTGTGTAAAGAGCTGCATGTGGCTCGCGAGCCACGGCTTGCCGACCACTGCACTAAGGCATGTTGCATTAAGGCAGGCTATTGAAAACAACGAGCTTCTGATGCACAAAAATGATGCACAAGTATGGGACATTTTTACCACAACACCCTGCAATGCACTATGGTTCATTGCCATACGTTGCAATGCATGGTGCTGCCTTAGTGTATTGGGGTGTTATTCAAAATGAATGTCACCACAATGCACGTACTGCCAAAACACATAGATGTAAATTGGCCCTAAAGCATTTGGATCAGCAAGACAGCCAGGCAACCAGGCTTTTCAGAAGGAGAGATCAACAATGACAGCTTGCAAGCTTCCTTCGCAACAGGTTCCCTTTGAAACGTTCTTTACAGTGTCTATATTGAATCCCATTATTGACTGACATCACTCACAATCTAGCGAGCATTAAGCAGGAAATGAATTCCTTTTATTTCTTGCTCTTTTGACATCATACCTTACAATCTTTATACTGTCACTGGTGGAGACCGCACAGCTGGTTACAGGGGAAGATACAACTTAATGATGCTTCTGGGGGCATTGTGTCCAGCTGCTCAGCTGGTCTTATTATAGAAGCCAAGAGGCAACCTCTCATCTTTCTACAGAGTTGCTATGAAACCAAAGCTGAACCATCTTCCCAAATAATTAAAAAGCAATGGATTAATTAAGCCTTTCCATTCCGTAAATCCACTTGTAACTGCCTTAGACAGGTGATGGTAGCCACTGATTGCCTATATGACCTTAGGTCAGACTCTTGGGCCACCATTGTTTAGGTAGGCTTCCGGTGGAGTTTACATGTCCAGGCCTGTATTTTGATACCAAGCTACCCTAGGCGCACTAAATAATGACCCCCTGTTGTGGAAGCAGCACACCTTGCATCATGCAGTTATTTTAGTATATAAATTATTATTAATATTATTGTACAGGATTTATATAGCGCCAACGGTTTGCGCAGCACTTTGCAACATAAGGGGCAGGGCCCTCTAACCCCTCGTGTATCGCATTGTATTATTATTGTACTGTCTCATGTATTGTCTTCCATTACAATGTACAGCGCTGAGCAGCTGTTGGTGCTTTATAAATACTGTATAATAATAATAATAATTATATAATAATAACAAGGGCAGACAGTACAATTACAATACAAATCAAAACAGGAGGGATCAGAGGGCCCTGCTTGTTAGAGCTTACAATCTAAGAGGGAGGGTCAAGAGATACAAAAGGTAATAACTGTGGAGGATTATATAATTATATAATGTTTTTATTGGAGGAAGCGTACTGTCTGCATTATACAAATTATAAAGAAAAGTACAATTGTTTCAAGTTTGCACTATGATTAGTTGTATGACTCATCTTAACATCATTAGTAAGCCCTTCCCTCTATTGTACTTTTACTGAGTTTAGCTATACATGTTTAGAGGTGTCCAGAAGAGGAACACAAAAAAATGTAACCCATTGAAATGTTATTACTCACACTATACTAAAGTGGACATTAGATGGCAGTGACCTGCTATTCAGGGTTACTCACATTGACAAAGCAGCCCTCTGTATTTCTGAACAGCAGGACTTAGCTGATAAGCAGAGTGCCTAGGACTGCATTTCCCAGGAGAGGTAGCGTGTGGGCGGGGGCATATAAATAGCAAAGCCCAGGAGATTGGCCAGGAGAGTGTGGAGGGAGATTGAAGGAGGAGGTGTGCTGATGGCTGAAGCTCTGAACTTTCGTCCATCCTCAGATGCAGATTCACACCAATTGGGCCCCAACAAGCACCCAGAGTGAGCTTATCTTTTATTGATAGTCATTTCTGCTCACTGGGGAGTCAATAGTCCCCTCAGACTGGAGGCAGTGGATGATTTCTGAAAGCAGGCCTGCTAACAGATACTGTTGTTTTATTGCACATGTTGTCACTTTTGCTCACAATTGCCACGAGTGATCAGATTTGCTGCCAATACCAGTGTTATTTTGTTATTCTTGACTTAATTACCTCCAAATCCAAGATAAATTTCATTTTGGTTAATACTACTCTGTGTCTGAGTCCATTTTACAGGTGTGATTTATCTGTGCGACCAGAGCACAGTGGTGGCAGCAGAGGTTGGGCTTTAAACGAGAGGTCCAGATTGACAGGGAACCCAAAAATTACTAAGCAACCTTTAATGGGGTAGTGCTACATAAAAAATAAATTATCATAATCTGTAGATTTTAAGGATAGGTTCTGCTCCTGTTACATTTCTGGTCTACAAGTGAGAAGGTGAATACAACCCATAACATTTTACATTTTGTCTATGCAGCTATAAATTATTAGTAAGTATTTTCATAGCTTCTAAAAATAACACATGACGACCATTCCATGTAAAATTTAGCATTAAGGATCTGTATTGTCCATAACAACCAACTTAAACTATGGACTAAAAGTGAGACATAAAAACTGTAGAAGAACCCCAACCAATTCTCTCCCACATACCCCTTTATAGAGTAACCCTTTCCTCCCCCATCTTCAAAGAATCCCAGATCCCCAAGAATGGGCTAGATACGGCTTTAAATCACTGCAAACGATAATGCCAGAAGGCACCCTGTTAATATCTGACACACTCAGGGGTGGACTGACCATTTGGAAACTCGGGCACTGCCCGAGGGCCCGGGGTCAGTAGGGGGCCCCATGAGATGCCCCTGGTACCTTTTTCATAGGCTTTTTTGAGTTTGGGCAAGGACACAGGGGCCCCATGATCCCCTATTACTCAGGAGCCCCATGAGTTGTCAGTCCGCCCCTGGACACACTCAAATCTAACTTTCATCCCCAAACTGGATGTTTTTTTCAAGTTATAGACAGAATCCTCAAACCTTTTTGATCTCTTTACCTACAACTATCAGCTTCTCACTCCCAATGATTCACGCAAGTATTCCAACTTTGGAAATTGGACTAAAAACCTACGATAATATATTTTCTTCATGATCCCTGTTAAAAATTATTATAAGGTTTATTCAGCTTAAATTTGCACAGGCTATATATCTCAACAATAAGTCAACATGCAGGTCAGATGCAGTCTGCATCATGCACATTATATGAACCTGCCCTTCTACCTACATGTTCTGGATAAGTTTAGTTAAGGTTATAAGCAGGATTATTGACTACACATGCTAGACTATGTTAGCTATCCCCAACCACAGTAAACTATTTATTTTTTCATACAGAATACTATGCCAGGACTATGCCAGGAGAGAAATACTTGTTTTTTAAATGGAAACATCCAGATCTCCCTACAGTCAGAAGCTGGAAACTGGCTATCAACAAAACTCTGCCTTTATGCTAGTTAATATGCATGGGGAGAAACTGCTCCAAAAAATTCAGCAAGATTTGGTCCAGCTGGATAACTAAATTGGGTCTGAAACAAAAATGAAACCCATAAAATAAAACATTTTCACAAAACACTCTGAGGCAGAAGATGTGCAACCAGCCACTACTTTCCACCCTTGACCACCATAGGGTTACTGGACTAGCCCTTTAATAGATCATGCTATTTTATTGAATAACTGAAAAACAAGTTATTCCTTTACTGAGGCTTTATTATGTAGTCAAATGACAGCAACTGTATGTTTTTATGGCCAATGGTTAAGAATTCTTCTATACAATACTATACTTCTATACAATTTGCCTTATGATCAGTCGATTAACTCCATCATGTACCTTCAACTTTCATTCCTTGAGGAGGATGCACAGCCAACAGAGATACCATAAAAGTCCAAAGAAGGAGAAATATTTCTGCTATGTTAAAAAAAAAAAACATGTCTGCCTATAAGAGGGGCTTCATGGTTGTCTGATTTTGGCACCCGAGCACAGGGCTCTACCCCCACTGCCACCCTGGTACAACAAAATTCCACCTGTCCAAACCCTCCACCATCATGTGTCCTGTTCTTTGCCTTAGGCCTCCTTCTGACATTCCTGTCCATAGACCTTTATTCCCTGAAGAAGGACTGTCCACACAATAAATAACTTTGCACTGTACTGGTGTTATTCAGAAAATGGCATTACAGTCACATCACAAGGATATGCATTCCAGAGTCACTTTACATATACAGTCAATCACATATACTAGTCTCAGGTGAAAGCACATGCAGCACCCTAATAGCCATCTCCCTTAAGTTTCTCCTCTGCCCAGGGTCATCAATACTCACAGGACTGTGCTCTCTGTAGACACCTCCTAGCTGGGTACATCTCTCCCAGGGACCCCCCAGGGAAGGAGACTCACACAGGGATCTTCAGCATGGCCTAAAAGCTCTTCTGCATTTGCCCTAGACCCCACCTCCATAAGGGACAGAATGACTACAGTCAGCTCCTCCTATGTACAGGTCCACTCCACCCGGCCTCCTGCCATATCCAGGGCCTATGTTTGTTGGCTACATGATCACAGGTGTGGGGTGCTAAGCTCCCATGTCCCACAACTCACTGTGTCTTCTCCCCATCTAGTTTATATGTGGGTGCTGACCCACCCCTGACATCACTTTAGGGAGGGCTCTATCTAAAATGGACCTAATACCTAGTGTCACTACCTGTTGTACCAAACACTATTCTGGTACAGAGCCACCTAGTGTCAAAGTGGCTAACTGCACCTGCCTACTTGCCTTCCTTGATGTCCATTGGATGGTGGTGTGATAGGGCTAGCAGTTTATACAATAAAGTAGACAAAGCTCAGCAGTGCTTTCTTTTAAACGCACAAGAAGTGACAAGGGAGCTGCGCTGGCAACAGCAGATCATTTCTGTACTTACTGAAAATGTTCTTAGCGTAAAAAATGGAAACTCAGATGCCACATCTAATGACTAGTTAGGCTGCAATATATCATGTTTTTGTTTATGGGCTTAGATAAGTTTTAAGGTAGCCCGACATGAATGCAAGATCCAACCCTTCCACCCTCCAATTTTTAAATATTTTTTCTTTAGCGGCAACTATATTAAGCAAATGTATCTCTCAATAGCATACACGATAACAGTATGTTAAGGAGAGTATGTGAACATCACCTTTTCTCAGGAGAAATGACAGCCAAAATGTCAAATCATCTATTTCCCCACTACAAAAATCAGCCAAGTTTTGTGCTGCCTGCCATCCAAAGATATTAGCATTGTCATCTCAATCCAGCCAAAAATTTCCCAGTTAAACACTTATTATCTAACATTTATTAATACATTAACTTAGCAATTTTTGAGCTATAATCGAGATGTAGCTGGCCTTATTCTCCTAAGTGTAATTATTAGTCTGAGCTGCACATCCAATGACATCCAGATTGTTTAGGCGCCATAGAAAGGTGACTTCAATGCAAATGAAGAAAAGGGAAATCAGGAATATTGATCTTCTGGTCCCCAGCTGTCACATGTCCTTAAAGGTATTTTCCTCACTCTTTTTGGATCCTCAGCACTTTTCATAAAAAAAGCTAATTAGGTGCAAATAGGATTGATTTAATGCATTTGGCTTACTATGGGATGGCCTTATCAGTTCCCTGCCTGTTATGTATTCCTGCCATGTATTCTCTGCTAAAACATACTGTATATACAAATGTTTCTGCCAATATTTGTATCATAGTATATCCATATCAACCAGTATTGTAGTTGTCATATACGGAGGATTAGGCAAGCATCTCAGACTTTCAAAGTGTTTGCAAAGAAGCTTCAGGGAATCTCCAGCACTGAATTTGGAGAACTAAAAAGAGGTATTTTAGTTAAAATAAAAAGGCAATCACTTATTCTTAGGCATGGAAAATGTCATTCAGTTAGAGTATACATCTCCTTTAAAGACCACTAATGCAATTGTCACTATCTCTGTTACTGGGTGCCACTTACACCAATGTATAGCATATATGAACATACTTGCTGTATTTACTGGTGTCAGTGTGTATATCAGCAAAGGGCAGCTGATGACAGACCTTCCTCCATGTTCCCCATTAATTTGTTGAGTGCCAAGTATGGGTTACATGTAAGGACTACCCCTGGGGTGGGTTGTTCTGGACTATGCTAGGCACCTGTAACAGGATCACTCTACTACACATGGGGTACCTTTACTCTTGGGCCGTTTTCAGTGTCCTGGGGCAAGGCTGAGGCCACCGTGGGGGAATACTCAACCTTAAGGCAGACCTCTAGTCTTAGAGATGAACATCCACCATGTATTCTGTGACAACAACTATTCTCCAGTTACTCTCAGGTCCCTGTGTAAATATACAGCTTTCTATGGCAGCTTACAAGTAGGCGAGCCATGGCAAACACAGACCACAGCCACTTGTCCAGCATTTTCCTATTACTGGTCCCGGTAGCAGCATGGAACCCCACCGTGCACTTAGTGCGAGCTCCAACGTGCACTTGGCTTTAACTCTTGAACCTCCGTACCTCTGTACAGGATGGGGAGAAGGAATTGTAGGGAGTGCCAACAACATCTCTCTCGCAGCTAAAAGCTGTCCCACCTATAACAGGTACACGTTCCGACAGGCTGCTTGCTGACTGCACCTCCACTGATTGTGGCAACCACATGTGTAACTTGCACTACGATAACTCTTAACGTGCATACCCCAATATGTTAATGACCCAAAACTAAAGCAATGTACCAGTTACTTGCATTGCATGCCTTTAGATGACTTCAGACCAGGCAGAAGGCAAAGTTTCAAAGCTTTACCGAATAAAGAGCAAAATTGTACAAAGCCCAACAAAAAAACAGTCCTTTTTTCCTAAGTCATGAGTCCTTAATCCTTCTCAGGCTATGTGCTGCACCAGCATACCTGCAAAGGTATTATCTGTGTCTGTAGTAGTCCAGAGATGGCAATCTCCAGTAGCTGGTATGTTCAGGTGGAGAAAGACCCCCAGGTGTGTGGCTCTCACATTTTCAGGGACAATAGATCTGCGGCAGGACCTTACAGCAGCATTGTGGATTCCAGTAACAGGAATTCTCTCTTTTCTCCCCCAGGGACTCTAGGCTCTGGACCATTGTCCCCATATATATCCACCACTCAAATATCCTGCCAAGCGAAAAACCCGGGAACTAAGTTAAGCCTAACTGTCCCTTCCAGGGAAGCACCTAACTAGCTAATTCTGACCCAGTTACATGTAGGTGCATAAGTTACCGAAAGCGCATATGCATGCATTTTCTTCTGGTACAAGAACACAAAGCAAATATAAGTTTAGGGTGCTCAGCAAATATGATTACATACTTCAGAACTCTAAATGTTTCTTTAATTTCATTTTAGTCATATAAATATTTTTTTGCTGTCTGTGTCAAATTGGGAATATTTCCCTTCTCCTGTCCCAGTCAGAGAAGAGGAAGTGCCAACACATCTCTATCACATGAGGGGCTAGTCCTCTCACTGAAACAGGTGTCCTCACTAGAAGGATTATCCCTGCCTCTTGTTCTGGTGACACCTGTAAAATTTCTAATTCCCCTTATCTTATGTTTCAGGGACACTGGTCACGAGCACAAACACGTGGGCAAAGCGGGGACACAGACAGCAGAAAAAACATGGCAGCAATACCAAATATGACAAATTGATGAAAATTACACTATAACCTCTTCCCATCCACTCATTGCCAATAGACAGTGGATAGAAAGCTTTGTCGCCTGGACACAGTGGATAACATTACCACTGTGTCCAGGCGATCACATGGTGTTTTACCATGTGACTGCTGTGACCAATCACAGTACTCACATGGTAAATATTGAAAGTGAAAGTAAAGATTGTTTTTTTCTGCTCTCACTGTGAGAGCAGAGAGAAGCGATTCAGCAATTT